AGGTACTTTCAATTCATAAATGTAAAATTATATTTTAAATCATAAGCATTAGTTCAAAATTCATATGAGTAAGACTAATTTCAATATTTCTTTAAAAAAAAATTTAAAATAATAAAAACAATGGAAAACCCCACATCTACGTAAACAAAAGAAAGTCTTGTTAGTTTCACCATTTATAACTCAGGGCGGCTGAACCGATTTGGCTGCAAATTGGTGGGGTGATAACTTGGAACCAAGGTAGTTACCTTGTAGCATACCCTTAGTATACTTTTCAATTCATTAATGTAAAATAATATTTCACAACATAAGCGTTTGTTAAAAATTCACATAAGCAGGAATCATTTGAATATTGCTTAAAAAAAAATTAACAATAATAAAAGCAATAGAAAAACCTCATATCTATGTAACCAAAAGAAAGTTTTGTTAGTTTCACCACTAATCAGTCCTATCACGCAATCCATCGTAGCGAAGCTACGAATACGAATGTCCGCTACGAATACGCATAATTTGCTGTCATTGAATTCATGAGAATTCGAAACTTTTGTTGTCAGACTTAATTTTGAATTTTGACATTTCGAAATCAGCTGTGTAGAAGAAAAAATTCAAACTTTGATTAATAAAAGTGAAATCGTTTATATTCAAATTGATTTTACGAAAAAATATGTATTCGCTAACGTTTTTATTTATGTTGCTTGAGGAAGAACTTGAGAGAAGTCGGCGTGATATAAAAATTCACCGAAAATCCCTGAGGGACAAGAGCAACCCTTTCGATGTGGACGAAACAATGTACAGTTCAAAAATCCACAAAAATTCATTGTTAAATTTTATTAAAATTATTTTTCTAAAACAGGTTTATTAAAAATTATCGCTTAAATAAGATGGCCTTTATGTATGTCCTCGATGTTCTAGAGAGGAATGCAAGTTCTTCACGATCGTCATCTATATCTTTACTTCATCGATTGTCTTCGGTTTTACGGTTTTTAACTGAAGGTGGCTATCAGCATGGAGTGGGTAAAGACTTCGATATTCCAATGGCACAGTCAACATTTTGTTACATCTTAAAAGAAGTATTGGGATCGCTTCAGTCCCATTTGTGTCTTCAGTGGATAAACCTCGAGTTAAGTAACGTTGAAAAAAGTGAAGCGAAAAAGGATTTTTTTCAGAAATACGGATTTCCAGCTGCGATTTTGTGTGTAGACGGGACACATATTAAAATCGTTGCTCCGACTAAAGATAAGTTTCTCTATTATAACCGCAAAGGATACTTTAGTATCAATGCCATGATTGTAAGTTTGGTGACAAATTCGCATTTCAAACATCTTAATCAATGTTTTGCAGATTTGTAACAATAAAATGAAAATACGTTATGTGAATGCTCAGTTTCCTGGCAGCAATCACTACTCTCACATATGGAATGTCAGCAATGCTCGTTATTTTCATGAGAAAAAGTACCTCGATGGTGAACGGAACACTTGGCTTTTGGGTATTATACATACAAATATATATATTACAAAAATTCCCAAAATTTAATATTTGTACAGGAGATGCTGGATATGCCTTAGAACCATGGTTAATGACACCATTCCGTACCCCTCCCTCAGGAAGCCCAGAAAAGAAATATAATAAAATACATGCAAAAGCGAGAAATATCGTTGAAAGAACCATAGGAGTTTTTAAAAATCGATTTAGATGTCTTCTGGGTGCTCTTAAGCTTCACTACGAGCCATGGAAGGCATCTCAAATCGTTAATGTTGCGGCAGCGTTACACAAAGTTTGCATTCACTATCGCGTGAATGATGAAAGTTTAGAAAATAATTCGGAACCAGAACCAAATATTTTTACAGAAAGTAATGAAATTGTTTCATCAACTTATAATGCTGCAGCTTCACAAATCAGAGAAACTATATGTGCAACACTTACACGAGTATAGTATCCTAAATAAATATTAACACAAAATATTTATAGTTGTAATTCAGTATTTATTTAATTCATTTAATTATTTTTTGTCATAGCTTGCAATTTTTGTTCTTCTATCTCTAACATTTTCTGTTTAATTGAATTTTTAGCAGCTACCAAATTTTCCATAGCTACGTTGTGTTTTTTCAATTCTTCAACTTCCGCTTTTTTAAAATCGTTTTGCATTTCCAATGCTCTGCCTACTCGTCGCATAGGTAACGAAAGGTCGTGCAATTTGTCGAGAACCTTGTATTGGAATTCTTTTTGAACATCAAGTTGTTGTTTTAAAAAGTCTGCTGTACTTTTTTCTGGCGGCCTAGTAGTACGTCGAGGCAGTGCTGGTCTGCAGGACACTGATGGCATCGAAACGTCTGCCTCTGTCTCATCGCCCACGTCTGCTACATTAGGTAAGCCGATGCTTACTGTATTCGCAATACCACTTGTACTGGTTTCCAATGCCGTTAGTGCTATCACCGCTTCTTCCAATTCATTGAAATGGTGCTGCCTATTTCTGCCGCCACCAGTAGCTGACTGCTTCTTTTTATTCTCAACCAATTTCCTTTTAATGTAAGCCTTCCAGTCAAGCCATACCTAATAAAAAATAAGTCAAACAAGCTTTAAATTATCCTGTTACAACAATAAAATCTACAAATTTATTACTTTCTTCCAGCTGAAAATATCCTTAATAGGCGGACCAACAATGTTGAGCTCTTGGGCCATGTTGTTCCAAAAAGCTGCCACTTCTTCTTTTTTGCACTTGGTAAAACCCTGCGCCATTTCTGGTTTTTGCTGTAACAGCTCAACGATTAGTGCATATTGTTGCTTTGTGGTAATTACTTTGGGCCTGCGGAAATCGGATTAAATATTATTTTAATGATAAAAACTATGTTATAGTTTGAATTAAATATTATTTTAATGATAAAGACTGTGTTATAGTGTGAATTCAATTAAAACTTATATTTTTCTTTTTTTAAATTTTTTTCTCCGTTAACACAAACCTGTCGTACAAAAATTACGCTAAACTTCAAAATTTTCCGTTCCGTGTGAATTCAGTGAATGCAACTCTACGATTTTCGAACTTACTTTCCGAACTGTTCGAATTGCATGATAGCAGTTTCGTAACTTTCCCTAAAAAACAGTCTACGATGGATTGCGTGATAGGGCTGAATAACTCAGATTGCTTGGAACCAAGGTCAGGACATAGGATACTTTTCAACTCATGAATGTGAAATTATATTTCAAATCATAAGCATTATTAAATATTCATATGTGTAGGAATAACATGTATATTTCCATAAAAAATATTAGCAATAATAAAAACAATAGAAAAACATCGCATCAATGTAAACAAAAGAAAGTCGTGTTAGTTACACCATTTATAACTCAGGAACTGCTGAACCACTTTGATTGAAATTGGTGGGGAGATAGCTTAGAGCCAAGTTAAGGACACAGGATACTTTACAATTTCTAAACATAAAATTATAATTCAAATCAGAAGCATTAGTTAAAAATTCATATGTATAAGAGTAATTTGAATATTTCTTAAAAAAATAAACAATAATAAAAAGAATAGAAAAACCTCGCATCAATGTAAACAAAAGAAAGTCGTGTTAGTTGCATCATTTGTAACTCAAGAACTGCTGAAACAATTTAGCTGAAAATTGGTGAGGAGRTAGCTTAGAACCAAGGTAAGAACATAGGATACTTTTCAATACATAAATGTAAAATAGTATTTCACAACATAAGCATTTGTTAAAAATTCATATGTGCAGGAATCATTTGAATATTTCTTTAAAAAAAATTAACAATATAAAAACAATAGAAAAACCTCACATTTATGTAAACAAAAGCAAATCTTGTTAGTTACACCATTTATAACTCAGGAACGGCTGAACAGCTTTGGTTGAAAATTGGTCTGGAGATAGTACTTTGACACAAAAGAACTATGATCACCCCGGTGTTGGACTGACCGGAGTTATTTTTTTTGAAGCGCGGCTGAAGAGCCAATTTAATTACACATTATACTTTTCAATTTATAAATATAAAATTATATTTCAAATCAGAAGCCTTAGTTAAAAATTCATATGTGTAGGAATAACCTGTATATTTCCATAAAAAAATATTAGCAATAATAAACACCATAGAAAAACATCGCATCAATGTAAACAAAAGAAAGTCGTGTTAGTTACACCATTTATAACTCAGGAACGGCTGAACCGCTTTTTCAATTCTTAAATGTAAAATTATATTTCACAACATAATCATTTGTTAAAAATTCGTTTATAATAATAGTAATAATTATACCCAACGATTACCCTCCTCCCGCCTAACCGACGCGAGGGGCGCAATCAGCGAACGAGTCATAAAAGGCAAGAGAGCGTTCTTAAGCTGCTCAGTTACAGAAACAAAAATTTCAACAGTTAAAATTAAAGTTTATAATTTTTAAATGTTACTTGTTAAGATTAGATAAAATAATTTTTTAATGATAATGAGTGAGTCTGTTAGATCAAATGTGCTGGAATGAGAATTGAAATTGTGACATATGCGGCGGAATGGTTCGTTCAGCTCAAAATTTGTTCTAGAAAATTTTAAAAGTAAGGGCCTAAACTGCCTAGTACAGCGAGGGAGAACGTTAAAATTAATATCAGACAAGAGAGATGGGCTACATCGACTTCTTCAGATGGAATTGAAGAATGAACAGCAAACAGGACACCACCTCCTTTTCTGTTCAGCCGATCATATCTATGGATTTCGCATTCGCTGTTGAATATGCATTATCAAAATTGTGAGGCCTTAGCCAAGTCTCTGTGAAAGCAATGACTTTAAAGTTACAATGAATGCAGTTTAAATACAAATCAGTAAGTTTCGTATTAAGGCCTCTAGCAGTTTGATAATAGCCAGCGAATTATTGTTAGTTAATTTTTTGTATTCACGGAATTTCTTGGCATTTTACTGACAACTGCAGCGGGTTTAAAACGTTTGTGCTCGAATTCGCACACAAATACCCCAGATGGCCAGAATGAGTTGTCAAGTATTAATTGAAAAATGGCAGCGCATACGTCGATCTTAAACGACGAAATATCCCGGTTATACTTGAAATTAAATTTACTCACGTCTGTATCTGCCGTTTTTAATTTCGACGAGATGTAACTTTTTATATCCTCGACTGATTTATCCGCAGCAAATCTCGACACAAAAATTGCATTTTTCCGCGGTATAACAACTAAGCTTTTATTAGCTGACTTGTAGGTATTTGGAGGCGGATCTTGAGATTTTTTCCACGTACCGTGTTCAGTAGCAGTTTTCTCAGTGTCCTGAGTGTCTCTCCTTGAGGACAAGGGAATGAGAGGTTAATGAGGTAAATAGTGGGTGGATGCATTCTTTTTAAGGAAGATGCAGTGGTATCTTCATCAGACGGACGTATACGTTTAGATGAAGATTTTGGATTCTCTTCCTGAGTATTTAAGCATCGAAACGATTGAAACAGCGTTTAACGCCTAAATTTTTCAGTAAGGATTTCAAGATCACGACCAATCTCCTTGAAACCATTGTGCGCCTGCTTAAAAACTTCAAACAATTTCATTTCAGTTGGCCTGCATTTTAAGCAATTCCAGCGCAATCCCCTACTCTCAAGAATAGAATCCACGATCCTACCTGTCAGTCCATTTAAGATGGGCACGCCGATCACAAAAGCAAGCAAGGGATTTTCGACTCGCCTTTCACAGAGCAGTTCGGAAAATTACAAAACATAATGAACAAAAACAATATTAAACAAAAATATAAAGATGTTAAATAATAAAAGTAAAAAGAGCAAAAAATAATAATAATATATTTATAACAAATGAATGCAATAAAAATAGTTAATTATCAAATATAACAACCAATGTAGCGAGCTGTTTGAGATGCACTGTAACACACGAAAAGTAAGAAACTCGCGAAAAGCTGTGGACAAAGATGGAAACGAATAACAACAAGAGAGAAATTTAAGTAAGCAATGTAAACTAACACTAACAATTGCACTATTTAAAATGTTGTACAAAAACAAATTGAAAATGACTCGGCACAATAAATTTAAATTAGCCAACACAGAATTAAAGTAAATTCAATAGCTACAATAGCACAACATAACACATTTACTTATTTTAAAAGATCAATTAATCCATATATTTTCACAACAAGGTCTTGAATATAAATTAAACAAATTCGACAGAGCACCAAAATTCACAGCTGAGCACGAGAATTGTCGTAATTGTCGTAAGAATACTTTCAATGTTTCTTAAATAAAAAATTAAAAATAATGAAAAGAATATAAAAACCTAGCACCTATGTAAACAAAAGAATATATTGTTAGTTTAACCATTTACAACTCAGGAACGGCTGAACCGCTTAGGTTGAAAATTGGTGGGGAGATAGCTTAGAACCAAGGTAAGGACAGAGGATACTCTTCAATTCATACATGTAAAATTATATTTCAAATCGTAAGCATTAGTTAAAAATTCATAGGTGTAGGAATAATCTGTATATTTTCATATAAAAATATTAATAATAATAAAAACAATAGAAAAACCCCGCATCAATGTAAAGAAAAGAAAGTCGTCTTAGCTACAAAATTTATAACTCAAGAACGGCTAAACCGATTTGCATGAAAATTGGGGGGCAGATAGCTTAGAATGAGGGTAAGGACATAGGATACCTTTCAATTCATAAATGTAAAATTATATTTCAAATCATAAGCGTTACTTAAAAATTCATATGTGTAAGAAGACTTTGAATATTTCTTAAAAAAAATTAAAAATAATAAAAACAATGGAAAAACCTCACATTTACGTAAACAAAAGAAAATCTTGCTAGTTTTACTATTTATAACTCAGAAAGGCCGAACCGATTTGGCCGAAAATTGGTGGGGCGCTATCTTGGAAACCATGGTGAGGACATAGGATACTTTTCAGTTCATAAATGCAAATTATATTTTAAGTCATAAGCATTTGTTAAAAATTCATATGTGTAGGAATTATTTGAATATTTCTTTAAAAAAATTAGCAATAATAAAAACAATAGAAAAATCTCACATCTATATAAAAAAAAAAGAAAGTCTTGTTAGATACACCATTTATAGCTCAAGAACGACTAAACCGATTTGGCTTGAAATTGGTGGGGAGATAGCGTAGAACCAAGGTAAGGACATAGGATACTTTTCAATTCATAAAAGAGTAAATGAATGTTAGAAATATCAACAAGAAGAAGAGTAGTTTGCAATCGTCGACCGACTTTGACACATACACCACGAAATAGCATAATATTTTCCGCTTCTTAAAAATCAATTTCTAGAATAACATGAAATATTTATTTATTTTAATTTAACAAACACACACACAAATAAACATTGTCATTGAATATACTTACTATTGTAAATCCTGACAAGCGTGTTCTTTTATTTAATGTGCGGCACGATACGACACGTTATGAATACGATACGTTAAGAGCAAGTATTTCATTAAGAGTTCAGAAGCTGGGAAGCATTAAAAATAGCAAAAAAGAATGCGTGAAAAAAGACCAAATTTCCAATCTAAAAGTGCAGGAGCTCGAGCGCTCCAACAATCGCAATTTCCGCTATCGGCAGTTTTATTTGAATACCAAATTTAGAAAGTGAGTGCGAAAGAATCAGTCGCGTTTCAAGACAAAACTGACATAAGTAAGAGTGAGAAAATAGCACTACTAGAACATGCGTATACGACAAAGCGAAATTGCTAAAGTGCAGAAGCAACGCCAACTAGATCGCCGTATCAACGTGAAGCTAAACTAGTGGGTGTCTCATCAACGAAGTGGAAAAGGACAGCGAAGAGAAAAAGCAACGTTAAATGATAACAAACGACCAGCATGAAAATCTACGAGTACGTATACTAACGCAGCAACGAGAAACTTAAACAACGAATGTCAACGGAGATTC